TTTTTCATTGCAATGCACCTTTATATATATACCAGCTCTTCTTAAAGTAACATGTTATATCTCACAATATTAATGCGGTTAACATATTATCAAGGATAATTACTAAGTATTCAACACAGGTGTTATTGGATACAATTATGGTTGGCGTAATGTACGCCGTTGTATGTTAATTAGGCAGTGGCATTACCTTAAGCCACCCACAATGCCACCTGCGTGGCGTTATTAACGCTACCTGCAGACCCCAGATTAGTTAATGCCACGGAGCTAACGCTGGTGATGCTTGAATGTTTCTGACCACATTTCAAGAGATCGACCAATCACTATTAGTTTTGCAATTATTAGTTACTTTTCTGTGCTCTCAATATAATTGAGATGGTAAAGGGATATTTTTCTATTATATTTCACATACTGTAGTTTACAATATATATGATGTGTTGATTATGTTTTGTAAGATATTTTAACCTATTTAGACTGTCTATGAAAACCTGCACCACCAACAATTGTTCCACAATGCTAGCTAAATACTCAGAAGTAAAATTATTTATTTAAAATACTGTACAGTAATTATATAAGTTCACCTCGAACAATTCACAGATTTAAAAGTTTTAATGATACACTGTAGATATTTTACTACAGTTAAGAAACCGTACATTATTTAAAACTGAAAACTATTCCTCATAGGCCTATATATCACTAGTTTAACGCCAGCGTTAATATAGCAAACACCGTTCGTGTGAACACTTCAAAATTTTAATCCATGGATTAGCTTACGCCGGCGTAAGCAACGCTAGCCTTTACGCGGTGTGTGAACATACCCCAAGGAGGGCTGGTCGGAAGATTCATTTCAAAAGAACCACATTGACCAAGATCAGCAGATGTTTTATATATAGACAAATCAAAAACTGAATACAAAAAAACAAGAGTTTAGCCTACCGTGGTGCTATTTTATAGAATAGGCTTAATGCCAGTGTTAGAAATGCACTAAACCTTGCCAAATTCAAATAGTTTATTTTATCTCGGTTGTATATTTTAACAGTTTACATATTATTTTTTTTCTAATAGTTTACTCCAACTTTGAAATTAGTTTTTTGTTTGTTCAGCTCAGCTGTTCTACGTGCCTCTTACCATATGCTTATTTTTTTATTTCATTTAGAATTTGAAGAATGAGATTCAGTCTTGCTCCCAAAACAACTCAATGGGCAAATTTTGTGATGGCAGGTGTAAGTATATAAGGCCCAATGGCATGTGAAGTTTGATACTTTTTTTTATTAGTAGTGACAGTGGAAGCTTCAGAAATGTGCTAACAAGGGTTTCGACCAAGGGCTCACATATGACCTCTAGTCAGGGCCCCAGAGTAGTCCTGGTAGGAGTCAGAGGTAGATATCAACTTGAAAATGAATGATGAATCGTACTAGAATTCATCATGACAATTAACAGTTAAATTAATACCCTTGCTCTATTCTTTCTGATTGGTTGTGCATTTTTTTCACTTCGCAAACGGTAGAAACAGTTTGAACTACTGATTTTTCTGAAGCAACAAACTCTGATAAAAATGTGAATGCGCATGTGTATGAACCAACGCTTTTGATTCGCACAAATAAATTCACAAGTGCAAAACAGCCTAATCCCAGAAAAAGTATAGCATGGAACGCCATGCAAATGAGTAATATGGAACGCCATTGGTGCCAAAATCAATTTATTTTTAATAGTTTTCACTGATTAAAACAAAATTTAGGGACTGGAACCCAGTCTATGTTCTTTATTTCACAAACTGTTTATAATTGTCACAAACCATAATACAACATACTTGATATTAAGGTCCTAACATTTCAGTTGCAAACTAATTAAAAAAAAAAATCTTTGTAGACCTGAATGGTGTGTTATTGTTTTACAGCCATGTGTCCCAGTTTCTCACATACAACAAATACATCAATTGAGGGAAGGCTACCAGATGAACCAATACAAAACGTTACTATAAGTCATTACAGTGCACAATATATTCATGATGATGGTTATGTTTTATCTAACACATTCACTGGTCTTAATATCTCATTTGATTTGGATCCAGCAGGTGAGTGTTAATTTCAACATCATCTTCACTTCAATTCAATTTAAAAAATGAGAATGTAAGATTATTTAAGAACATAAACTTACTAATTAGAAGAAGTTCTTTGTAATATCACATCTCACTGTTGGCTGCGATTTTGTCCACGAAGTGTTGTATATTGTGAAGTTGAAGAATAAAGTGATATATTTGTTTTCACCTGTGTTAAAAAGAAACAGATTTTCAAAGCATATAACATAATAATATGCAAGAATTGGTGGCCAAGAATTTTTAATATGCAGTACATGATATCTAAACAAATTTACTTGTAATTCATTATTATATTAAATGCTTGTGGTATAATCAATCAGTCAATCAATCAATCAATCAATCAATCAATCAATCAATTAATCAATCAATCAGTCAATCAAGCAAGCAAACAGTTAATTAATTTATTTATTTATTTATTCATTTATTTACTTGTAATTCATTAATATAATAAATGCTTGCAGTATAATACTAAAAAACAACATGCAAACTTCAAACCACAAATTCATTATTTCTTTACTTCTAACATTATTATGAACCTAACCTAAAAGTTATATGTACTTTGATATCAATTGCAGGATATGGTCTTTATCAAGGAGCTATCATCGAGATTACAGGAATTGCATTTCAAAGAACGCATTTTGGTCAAAGAGGTTGCTTTTTTCTAAGTTTTGATGGTGTCCTCAATAGGTCTGCTGTAATCTTGTCAAATAATAAAATAGTATGTTCATATTTTTGAATTTATTCATATTTTTGAATTTCCCCCCCCCCCCCCCCCCCCCCACCTTCTCATCGGGGAAGTTGGTAGAGATTCGTCAGGGAATTAAAAAAAAATATTTTAAAACGTTTAAAAGAAATTTTGGCCTGATTATAAATTAAAAGGTAGGAAAAGGTTGGAAAATACCCCATAACTTGCAACGTCATTGTGTGAATTGAGTATGGGCGTGGTCCGTGACTATCTAGCAGCCTTAACAACGATAAATTAAATTAAATGCCAATGAGATAAAAAAAATTAAATATTCATATTTTTACTCACATTAACCATAAGGTGAGACTATTTTATACCATATTAGCGAACTTTCCCGCCTGCCAATAATGATGATTTCAAAAGTAAAATTTTATTTTTCGCCAATTATAGCACACTCATCACAAAAAATTGGGAAGTTCAGAAAAAAATTAAAGTTTCTTTATTTTTATTTTGCCCACCGCTGCCTTAAAGTCTCCCAAAATAAGATATGAATATTTCTTTAATTATATAAATTTAAAGCATTTAAAAAAAAATGTTCTCCTCCATTTGGATGTTTTGGCAAAACTCTTTGCTAAATGAAACCAAAATTTTATTTTTATTTTTTTTTCTACCCTCCTCTGACGATCTTTAAAAAATTAAGTTCGCGAAACTAGGTATATAAAAGTCTCACCTAATAAATGATATATTTGAGTTACAGTATGAAGGAAGATAAAAACATTGTGTTTTGCTTGATATTGTTAGAAACGAATATTCTTTGACTGTGCTAGGCAGCTTGCACCAGCAACGACATACCTTATTACCATCAAAATGGCACCATTTTTATCCAAAGACTTCAAAATCTATTATCAGATACCAAGTGAGTACATTTATTGATTTTATTTTATATTTATATGT